GGAGGCCACAGATAGGAGAATTGTGGTATGCATCTAGATGCTGGCAAAAACTTGAACCCCTATCTGAAAAATAACTAAAGTATAAAGGTAGTGGTAAATACCACCATAGCAACTCTGAAGCCAAGTTTAAATCCCAGTACCACCATAGTCAAAAAGCCAAATAAAGTCCAAAATAAAAGGACAAATGAATAAAACATTTTATTTAGTTTGTGGCCACTTCTTTCACAGAAAGAAAATTCAGAAAAATCAGTGAATACCTACTAAACACAATGAACTTAATCATTTAGTTGAGGCATACTAATAATGTTTTCAGTTGTTTGCAATATATAAAAATACTACTGGTATCTCAAGTGTAGAATTTATATTATGTCTGGACAGAACCATCATTTATTAAAAAAGTAGGCAATTCTTCCCATCTGAATACCGGTAAAAATTTGTGTTGATGGTATCCCTCAATTTTAATTGCCGTGAGACCACTAGCAAACAGCAGAAAATTTTAAACTAGATTCATAGAATATGCCACAGGAAAAATAATTTTAAAATAAAAGTTTAAAACCTTATATACTATATGTGTATATATATGCATATACACACATATATAATGTCTATCATAAATGATAAATACCTACTAAATTATTTAAAACTACCAAAAGCAATCCTAATTTGCCTCTTATTAACTACATTAAATTCCTTTCACCTTTGTTAACTACATTAAACTTCTTTTATTCATAATCATACACCATTTATAACCAGGGAATGATTATAAAAAAAAGAAATAGGATTACATTTCATATACAGTTTGTAATAAATAGTAATGTACTAGCAACTTCTTTATATTTCAGTATTTCTACATTTTTTTAAATGAGGGAATGATATTCATACAATCATGTCCATTGTTAAATATTTGGAGTTTTAAGTTTTCTCTTATTATAAAAAGTTCTGAGATGAACATTCTTACAATCCTATCTTTGTAAACCTATCACTAAATTCCACAAAGATTATCCCAATATACTTTCCAGACATATCATCCTTAACATTGAGTGTTTTATAGAGGAGGCAGTTGTTTTTCTTCACATTAATTTGTAAGAATTTCAATACATTACATACTTATTCTAATATAAGTGTTATAAAAATCCTTCCCAAACTGCCTATCTGCCTGCTTGCCTGCCTATCTACCTACCTACCTACCTCTGTTAGTGTGGGGTTTGATCTCAGGGCAGCTTGTAACTGGCTAGGCAAGCATTCTACCTCTTGAGGCTCCAGAATGATTTTGTTTTTTGAGACAGGGTATTCACTATGTAGCCCAGGCTGGCCTTACTTTTGCTAATGGTATGTTGGGATAAACAAACAAATTTTGGTAGATAATTCTAGTCAAGAAGTGGACTTTTTTGGGTGTGTGTGTGTGTGCACATACTGGATGTATATTCTTTTGTTTAGAATTTCCATTTATCATTCATGAAGAGTAAGTTAGTTTTCTCATTTTCTATATGCTATAGTAATTTATTTTACTCAAGACATCTTAAATTTTTTTGGTTTACCTTCCAGTTCTTCATATATACTTACAATTCTTTTTTACTGGTGAAAAAAAGAGATTTCTCTGAATCTAGTCAGTGTGTGGAGGATTCTATATGTCTCTCATAAACTCATACATGGCAAAGTTTAGACAAAAATCAAGTTTTCAACTGTTTGTGGAAAATAGAAAAGGATTTAAAAGTGAAAATTAAGTCCATATTTAAGCAACCTAAGATTCTCAATGAAAAAAAAGTTTACTTACTTTGTAATTGAGAGCTTATAAGTTTGTAGACCATAAGGGGACAATTCCTCCCTTATTTTGGTAGTAGTTAAGGGTCAAGAGAAAGGTGAACTGTGTCTATCTTCTACAAACTTATTCTTTAGCAGTTCTACAATTTATTTTATAACAGTATTTATAAAGAAAAACAAACTTCCTAGTAAGCTATTGGGTTCACTGTCAATGACTAATCCTAGGTAATGAGGCATGCACTATACTATAGGGAGAGGACAGAATGAGAATTCTTCAGGTTAGAGAAGAAGAAAAAGAAAACTCTTCAGCAGAACTTTGAAATAAGGACCAATTTCTCTATCAAACTTTAAATGTGCTAAATCACACACCTTCATCTTAAAAGGTAGAACTTATTTACATAAAGTTACATATATATTCAACTGCAAAAACTACAGATACTCATTTTTAAGTGGCTTGTGAAGAGTTTCAATGAATTACTAATTCTTGTGATTGAATTTTGCTCCCTGAACAATGACTACACAGGTATTTTCATTAATATTACCAGAGTTTTGTACACGTCTACCAAGAGGACAGGAGGAAACCTTTACACACAGAAATCTACTTAACTTTCTTGGGAGTATCCCAGTCTCTCATCTACATAAGCATTTTATAAGCCTATTTGATCATTATCTTTAAGAAAGCCAAACAGTATTATCCATACTCCCTTGCTCCAATATTATGATAAATAACAATAAAACTTTGAGAGAAATAAAGTGTATTTAACCCAAGTCTGATTTTCCTCTTTATTCCCAAAGGCAGAGTTGATGCTCAGCTGTCAGAAGTACAGTTCTATCTGAAGGTGCATATTTTTCCATAACAAAGCTGGCAACTGATAGGTCAAAAACATAGGACTACAAAAACAGTTATAGGACTCATTTAAAATGAAGACATTAGAATATATATATATATATTTATTTGTTTGTTTGTTTGTTGTTGGTCGTGGGGTCTGGGCGCTGTCCCTGAGCTCTTCAGCTCAAGGCTGGTGCTCTACCACTTGAACCACAGCGTCACTCTGGCTTTTTCTGCTCATGTGGTGATGAGGAATTGAACCCAGAGCCTCATGCATGCAAGGCAAGCACTCTACCACTGAGCCACCTTCCCAGCCTCTAGAAATTATTTTATAGCAATGAAAATGTTTTTCTTTTTAAAACTAGATTGATTACAAAATATTATATAAAAAGTAAAAAGGGTTTCTTTTGCTTTAGAAATTTCATTTTCACACTGAATATGCTACATATAATCTGATTTTTGGAAAGTCTATTGAATTATAATCTTAAATTATCACTTGTGGTAAGACACTGGTGGCTCATGCTGTAGTCCTAGCTACTCAGGAGGCTGAGAACTGAGGACTGCAGTTTGAAGCTAGCTGGGGGAGAAAAGTCCTTAAGACTCATCTCCAATTAGTCAGCAAAAAGCCCTAAGTGGAGCTATGGAAACTCATTTTAACAAAAGCTCTATTAAATTTTGGAGCAAAAGGCTGAAAGGTGTATTTCACTATAAACGAAATCTTTATTTGAGAAAGAGCTATCCCTTCCATAAATGTCCCTTAAACTAATTTATTATCAGGACCTAGGTATCAGTATTTAAAAAGACTTTTACTGATTAACTGTTAATAATAAAAAACTCCCATATGTTGCTGTCTAGTAAAAGATGCAATTATGAGCTAAAATGACAGTTCCTTAATGAGACATTTCTTAGGGGTTACAAGTAAACTGAAAGTAGAAAAGTATATATTCTACCTCAAAGTATCTGTTGACTTCAACAGCCATTCCTTATGATTGGAAATAGCCTCTTTATTCATAAAACATTTACAAGATATGATGATGTCCAATGTTAACATTTTGAATGTACTGCAAATAACTGAAATGACTACTAAATTACTTCTGCTTTTTTTATTTTATTTTTTGGGGCTTAGTATTTTAACTTTTTGGTTTAGCTAAGTTGCCATGGCTGGCCTGATCTCCTGATCCTCCTGCCTTAGCCTTTTGAGTGCTGGAATTACATGTCATGCCAACATACCTGGTATGCTTTAACTTTTTAAATCTAAATACTGTTAATAAGAAAAGCATGTACTGTATCATGTGGCTTGTTCTTATTACCTAAGACTATTTATTATTTTGCCTGCCAGCAAAAATTGTCAAAACCAAATCAGGCTTCATATGGACAGTTATATAAAACTGCAAAGTGTGTGCATCTTTTCACTTAAATGTGCCTAGATATATGTATAAGTTATTTACATGTTATTTATTATATAAACCTAAATATCTATCTTTATTTGGTAAGCAAATCAATTAAAGGGCTAAACATAAGCCTGAGAACTATTCAGTAGGATCCTCATTCTAAGGTTTAGAGCATTTCTTCATCTGATCAGTGACCATGACTATCATGGTCTTCAGAGTAAGTAGTCTTTTCAGTAGGGTAACTAATAGTAACAAATTGGCATTGTCTCCAAAGCCTGACAATTAGCGATATGTGGGATACTTACATCAGCATAGTGGCCCATCATATCACATCGGTCACATCGTTTTCTCCAGGAAGATCTTTCAAGACATCTGTGAGTGGAAGACAGGGGCAAAGAACAGTCTAAGCAAAAGCGGGCCGGACAGGCATACTGGAAGTGTCCTCTTTCTGAACAGAGGCAGCAAGGTCGGACTTTCTGTGTGACAGACAAATAGAAGATCTCTTTAGAAAATATTTCAGTCCAAAATGGTAGAACATTATTTCCTTTTCTTTCTATATAAATCTATAACAAGGTATATCTAATTTGAGACCTACTGAAGGTACAACCTTGAGCATAACTGTAACATCATGTCTGAACTTCAATCACAAGCTAGCTGTACGTTATAGTATGAATGTACTGTCAGCAAACATTTATTTCTTTTGTCTCATCTTACAGACTATTCACAAAGTAAAAGGTGTCTAAGGAAAGGGGATGATGAGGATATTTGGAAGTTAAGTCATATTAAGAACAGATACAGAAGAGGCTGTTTTGCTTGGAAAGCAAATACAAAGAAGACTGTCTCACTATTTAAGTGGTCATTTAGAAGAGGGAATGGGGGTAGAAGGAATGTTTAGAGTATGTCAGGGGATAGCTCAGTGCTATTCTGTGTTGTTTTGAAGGTTTATATATCTGATTAATAACAACTTACACAAACATTTATAAATGACTAAAGTTATAATTCTCTAAAAATGAAAACTATCCCATAATGAAATAAGCCGTGTCAAAAAACTGGTAAGTAATACACATAGGTTTAGAGGATAAAGTAGTCTTGGGAATCACCTTATTTTCCAAAAAGATAACTGAGGCATAAAACATGAAATGGTATGTCTCAGGTTATACAATTAATAATGGGAAAGCTCAAACTGATTCAAGGGGCGTGTGTGTGTGTGTGTGTGTGTGTGTGTGTGTGTGTGTGTGTGTGTGTGTGTGTGTGTGTGTGTGTGTGTGTGTGTGTGTGTGTGTGTGTGTGTGTGTGTGTGTGTGCGCGCGTGCGCGCACACATATATGCTATGACTAGGGCTTGAACTTAGGATCTCATGCTCTAAGCTGTCTTTTTTCTCTACCATGCCCGCAGTTCTGACTTTTCTGCTGGTGATAAGAGTCTCTGTGATTTGTCTGCCCAGACTGGCTTTGAACCTCAATCTGCAAATCTCAGCCTGCAAACTCAACCTTGGGTAGTAGGATTTTAAGTATGAGCCACTGGCACCAAGCTTATCCCAGGCTTTTCCTGATTCTTTATTGCTTTCTCCCTATTCTAGGCTCACAAGCTACATGAAATTTAGCATACACTTACAAAAATTTTGAATTCTAAGGTTATGGAAGTAAAAACCATAAGATTTTGATTTTAGCAATGTGGAAAGAAGCATTATATATTTCACGTACTTGGGGTAAGGGACAATTTTTTGACAAATGCCCACATTTGTCACAATTTCTACAGGTAACATTTTTGTCAGCTGTATAGTATCGGCGGGTCCATCTTCCAGATGATCTTTTATTACCTATTTTGGCCTAAGGGTGGAAACAAAAAGTTAAGAATTAAAAAAAGTTTCATTCTGTTTAATAAAAATTATCTACTCATCTTTTTTTTTTTTTTGTCGGTCGTGGGGCTTGAACTCTGGGCCTGGGCGCTGTCCCTCAGCTCTTCAGCTCAAGGAGAGCGCTCTACCACTTGAGCTATAGCGCCACCTCTACTCATCTTTTAAAAGATAACTATCAATTTCAAATTTTAAGGCAAAGAAAGATATACTCAATTTCAAACACAGTAACAGATTTTCACAATCTCATTATAAAAAGAGTTAGGAAGGCATTAAAAAGTGGTGGCATAAACATAGCTCTGCTCCTTTTACGTATGTTCACATGATTCCCTCCTTCTTCTAGAGTTTGGATCTAACAAGTATACTGCTATGGTTCATTTTGACATTTTGGTGGTATTCACAGTCAAAGCCATTGTTTAATTCTGTGTTTTAACATCTGCCACCTATTTCTAAGTGGGAGTCCTGCTAAAATTTTCCATGAGGAAATAGTGAGGTTTTTTTTTTTGTTGTTGTTGTTGTTGTTGTTTGGGTCTGTCGTGGGGCCTGAACTCTGGGCCTCGGTGCTGTCCCTGAGCTCTTCAGCTCAAGGCTAGCGCTCCACCACTTGAGCCACAGTGCCACTTCCGGCTTTTTCTGCTTATGTGGTGCTGAGGAATTGAACCCAGGACCTCATGCATGCATGCATTCTACCACTGAGCCACCTTCCCAGCCTGGGAATAGTGTTTTGTTTTGTAAATCATTTTGTCTTTTATAAAGATATTAAGCCATATAAATATTGTGTCTGTCCATTTTTGTACAGAATACAGGATTATTGTTCCTCCTATAAGAGTAAATTATAATTTCTAAAAGGTTATAATTTTCCACTGAAATCATTTTGCTATATACTTAGTCAATTCTAGCTGTTTCATATTCTACTCAAATTCTAACAGCTTCAAAGGAATATTAGCAAAGCATATCATATGGTATACTTAAATATGAATATGTAAATCCCAACCATGCATGTATCTCATCCAGTAGAATTCCATCTTTAAAGCCAAGCACGAGGCTCATGCCTATAATCCCAGCACTTGGGAAGAGTGAGGCAGGAAGATCAAGAGTTTGAAGCTAATCTGAGTTATGAAGGAAATTCTGTCTCAAAAACTAACACAGAAAATTGCATCTTTAAAAAAGCTTTATCTTTTACTTGTGATTCTGCTTTAATCTGGTTATTTCTTCATTCTTCCACCAAGTTGTAAAATTATTCTTTTTTTTTTTTTTACTATCTGTCACAATAAAGCTAATAATTGACAAAGGCAAACACCTGCCACATCCTAAATATAGACTAACCATTTCCTTACACAGAAGAAACAGTTATTTCCGGTGTTGATCTTTATGTGGAACCAGGCTATATGAGCTAATAGGACTCACCAAGTCAGAGCAGCAAAAGGGAAAAGTAACAATCAGCTAACAAAAGTCAGAGATGAAATACATTCTGAAAAGTTAAATCATCCACATACAAGCAAAATCACTGATACTTACATTTCTCTTTTCCAAAGCTACTGCAGTGAAACAAGAGTAACTTACGAGTCAAAGGAAAATATTAACCTATTTCTCAGAACTTTAAAAACAAATTGATTTTACCTCAACATCTTTGTCACTGATGAACCAGTTTACATCATCTTCTCCTACAAAACAAACAAAACTGCGATTAGACCTTAGTACCTTTGGAAACACTCACAGGACAATATTGTGAGAAATACTTAATACTTTCAACTCTTATGCAACTTGTAAACACTAACATCATCTATGGTGTTGAGACTGAACCCATAGCCTTGCGTATGCTAGGCAAGTACTCTTATCACTGAGCTAATATCACCTAAACTCCTAATTTAGCTCTCTTATCAGCTCTGTGACTCTCCACAAGTAAGTTAACCTCTCTCAGCCTCATTTTCCTTACCTAAGAAATGGGGATAATAATATTTACATTATCTAACTTAAAATTCCAGTGAGAATAGAATGAGAAATGAAAATGTTTGAAAGTTGTGAAGCTATATACATAGAAAAATCAATGAAGAGGTCAAATACCCAACAGCAAATGCAGGAAGAAAAGTTATTTGAAGTTCCAGTTCTGATCAAAATAGAGCTTATCTGAGAGGCAGATGTCACAATGCTCCCATCTTCTTGAGGAGGTCTCCTGAGGAGGTCTCCTGACTCTAGGCAATGACCACCTCCTGCAACCTCCATTCCCCAGCTAGCCCTGCTCAAATAATGTTAAAAACAAGTTGCAGAGTATTGTCTGCCCTCTGACTCACTAGACTCCTCCTTTCGTTAAGTTGATAATATTATATACACCATTGTACTTCTTTGCACTCCTCTTGAAGTTAATCCTTACTGATAGTTCCATGCAGTATGAATAAACCATATCTTTTCTCCAGTTATTCTGCCTACCATAGATTCTTGAATCAGATCTAACATGGTAAAAGGATCCCCCTCCCCTCAAATCAGCATTAACTGTGTCCACTACCTTTCCACTGAAGGTGACTTTCACTACCTTATTAAAAACAGTTGAACTGGAACACTAGTTCATCATTGTTAGTAATTTTGCACTAGATTTTTAGCAACAAAAATAGTGAAATAAAGGAGCAAAAAAAAAAAGGATAAATACCTAGTAATCATTGACTATTAATCTACAAATATAACTATAAAATATACAGGGGGCAAAAACCCCAAATATTTTCTGTGTCAGCTATTTTCTTCTCTTTGCACTGTCCTTTAAAAGAACTTGTGACTGGCTTCTTTTCCTTTAAGCCCACAAGGACAAGGAGGCAAAGAACTATGGCTAACACAAAAGCTAACAAAGGACTGAAAGATTTTTCTTCCCTCAAACCAAAGTTAAGATTTTCTTTTTTTCTCCTCCCTTACTCTTTCCTTTATCTCAAAAACACAAATCAAGCTTGATTTGTTTCTTTAAAAGAAATTCTGAAGAGACATGAAGTAATCTACATTTCCCCAGGCCTACTAGGAGTAAACATCCAGACATATATTTTAAAATATTTTTACTATGAAAACCAAGAGGTTGCTTTACAAAAAGTCCAATCCACACGAAAGTAGAGATGTTGTGCTGATCATTATTTTCTTTGTGAAATTCAGAGGCTACATCATACACTGAGAGTGGAGAATATATTAAATAGCAGCAGCTTCTATTCCATCACCACCATGTTGTTTTTATTCAAAAGATCCAGGGTAAGGAATATGCTTTGCCAAAACTTTTAAAGCTGTTTTTTTTTTTTTTTTGGTATCTCAATGCTCCTCATCATTAAAATTCAAAGGGATCATCTGAATCATTTGAAGTGATAATACTGTTCTTATAAATGAAATGAAAAAAAGCAACTGGGACCACCTGAAACCTTAATAAGTATACAGCTGAGTATGGAATAGTAAAAAAAGGTTTGAAAGGAGATGGACTCTATTTAGATACTTTTAAATATTCCCATGGAATTCAATATTCTAGGTTATACGTTAACTACTTATATAGTTAATTAATTAATTTACTTATTTTGGTGCTAGTACTGGGGCTTTAACTCAGGGCCTGGGCATTGTTCTTCAGCCTTTGTGCTCAAGTCTAGCACTCTACCACTTGAGCCACAGCTACACTTCCAGCTTTTTCGGTAGTTAAATGGAGATAAAGAGTCTTTCAAAGACTCTTGTCCAGGACAGCTTTGAACCTTGATCCTCAGATCTCAGCCTTTTGAGTAGCTAGGATTACAGGCATGAGCCACTGGTGCTCAGCTTAAATGTTCTAATATTTTTACTGTAAAAAAAATCATCACCAGGTATTTGAAATAGGTTCTAATTTCAAATATGCATCACTGGAACACATAGCCAGCTCTAGACAATTCACCAAGGTTCCAATTTTTGGCTTAATCTTGGTAATGACAGCTTGGTAGGCCCATTTCCCATCTTTCTGCGATACTGAGATTGAACTCAGGTCCTTGAACTTCCAGACAACTGCTCTACCACAAGTCATGTCCCGGCCCTTTTTCTTTATTGTTCTTCAGGTAGAGACTTATGCTTTTGTGGGCGCCAGCCTTGGACCATAATACTCCTACTTCCATAGAGTAGCAGGGATTACTAGTGTATACCATCACACCCGGCCTAGGCTTTCTGTATTTACCTATCCCCTATATATCTAATCTCCAAATCTCAAACCAACACAAGCCATATCTACTGGAACCCATTGGAACTTCCATAGGCAATCGATTTCCAGTTTATAAAATTCTGGATATAGAATAGATAGAAACCTGGATTCTAGCTCTTAACTTTGTTTCCAATTTGTGCCTGGTGTGGTGTTAAGCAGGCTACTTAATTTCTTTAGGTTTATATAATGAGTTGGATTAAAGGGCATTCATGTTAACTTCTAGCATTGTTTTTCTAATTCTAATCTTCTTTCATTGAGGGAATCAAATGCATTTTTAGTTCTAAGTGTTCTAGCCTTGGAAACCAGTACAAGATGCTTTGTCTTAATGACTGCCCAAAGCATCCAGGTCACTCACTTTTCATGTATCTACTAATGCTACAGAATGTAAAACAATACTGTCTAAAGTTTAAAATATAAAACAGCTCAGGATGCACATAATCAATTTTTCACTGCTAGCTTTGATATTGGTGAGATTATGATAAAAATAATAGCTGAAAATTCTTTGCATTAAATCAATTCAGTTTCATTAACATCTATCAAAAGATTACAATAAGCAAGGTTCTAAAGGGCAAACAAGATGAACTAAATGAAGAAAGTAAAAGACACAAAGATGAATGAAAGGAGAAGGACTAAAACCAAACACATGCTACAGTAAATTTAGAATAGATAACATCTGAATTTAAGAGACAGAAAAGGGAAAAAGGTCACAGAAGGCAGGGCCAAAGAGGAAACTATTGAGGTATGGTTTACATATAGTAAGATGTGTCCACGTAAAAATTACAGTAGCATAACACACTCTAAAAATTAAACACAGAATATTTTGATCATTCCAAATGATACTTAGTTCACATTTGCAATCAACTGCCCACCCGTCAATAACCGATATCCTTTCTAACACAATGCATCCAATTTGCCTAATCTAGGTCCTCATAAAAATGGAATCCTATATGTGTCATTTTATCTGGCTTCTTTCACTGAATATTTTAGAGACTTAAATTTGATGTAGGGCCGGGTGCTGGTGGCTCATGCCTGTAATCCTAGCTACTCAGGAGGCTGAGATCTGAGGATCGAGGTTCAAAGCCAGCCCGGGCAGGAGAGACCATGAGACTCCTATCTCCAATAAACCACCAGAAAACCAGAAGTGGCGCTGTAGCTCAAGTGGTAGAGCGCTCGCCTTGAGCTGAAGAGCTGAGGGACAGCGCCCAGGCCCAGAGTTCAAGCCCCACGGCCGACCAAAAAAAAAAAAAAAAAAAAAAAATTTGATGTAGGAAAAAAAATTTGATGTAGGACAATAGTAATGCCTTTTCTTTCTTTTCTTTCTTCCTTTTCTCTTTCTTTTCTTTTCTTTCTTTCTTTCTTTCTTTTTTGTCAGTCATGGTGCCTGAACTCTGGGCGTGGGCACTGTCCCTCAGGTCTTCAGCTCAAGGCTAGCGCTCTACCACTTGGCCATAGCGCCACTTCCAGCTTTTTCTGCTTATGTGGTGCTGAGGAATCGAACCCAGGGCCTCATGCATGCAAGGCAAGCACTCTACCACTGAGCCACCTTCCCAGCCCATGCCTTCTCTTTCTATCCCAGAGCAGAATCCCATTGCATGTATATAACACTTTGTTTAGCCATTCACCTGCTGATAAATACTTATGTTGTTTTGAATTTTTGGAACTGTAAATAATGCACCACAATAAACATTATTTTTTAAACTGACTTTAGGTCTTCATTTGAGAAAATATCTAAAAATAGGTCTGATATTATAAGCATATACCTTTATCTTTACTTTTTAAAGAAATTGGCAAATTATTTTCCAAAGTGGATATGCCATTTATATTCTTATCTACAATGCATAAGTATTCCATCAGCTTCATAAGCTCCCCAATACCTGGAATTGTCAGTCCTTATAAATGTAGCCTTCAAATAGATATGGAGTTAGGATTTTAATAGGCATTTCTCTGAAGATTAGTCATGCTGAATATCCATTCATTTATGTGACATTCACGTATCTTCTTTCAAAAAACTGTATCTACAAATTTGCTGCCTATTTTAAAACTTAGTTATGTCTTTTTCTTTTTTATTGGGTTGGTTACTTATTAAATTCTAAAAATTCTTTATAAATTCTGAAAACACATTTTTTATCAGATAAATGATTTGCAAATACTTTTGTCCAAGTTGTGACACACCTTTTAAGTATTATTAGAATATTTTATTACAATTTAAAATTTACAACATGACAACTTTACTTTTTACAGACTTTTTTTTTCCTTTTGCCAGTCATGTGGCTTGAACTCAGGGCCTAGGCTTTGTCCTTCAGCTTCTTTTGTTCAAGGCTAGCACTCTACCACATTAGCCACAGCACCACATTCAGCATTTTCTGAGTAATTTATTGGGGATAAGAGTCTCAAAGTCTTTCCTGCCTGAGCTGGCTCAAAACAAAATCCTTAGATCTCACTCTCCCAAAAAGCTAGGGTTACAGGTGTGAGCCACAAGTGCTTGGC